AGACTCAATCAAACCGAGTCTGCAATTCTCTTGTAATTTTGTTATGATTAATGCTTCCGAGGGATCACTTTGTTCCTAGATTTTTATACTTCACAACAGCAGGTGTCAAGTGCTGTGTGGCAGCTGTAAAAAGTTGCCCCGAACTTCACTTCAGTGTTGTTATATTTTTCTGGTCCTTCGGGATCATTGATGCCAGCACTATTAAGTGTTGAGAATTGAGTACCGCTCAAGCTGGTGCTAGGGGGGCGTGAGGGATGTTGCACTTTACATTATCCCTCATGTACAGACTCAATTAAACTGAGTCTGCAATTCTCTTGTAATTTTGTTGTGATTAATGCTTCCGAGGGATCACTTTGTTTCCAGATTTTTGAACTCGATTATTTTCTTACTAAGAAAAGACATTTACTCTTTATTTTAGAATAACATAACACGAAGATGACAACAATCATTTCTAATTGAAGAAAATGTATGTCATATCAAATATCTTTGGAAGAGAAGACAGTAACGAAACATGTGTTTTTATTCAAACTTCCGTAATTTAATTTGATTGAAAACAATCATTCAAATGACAGGACATCAATTAAAAAACACCTTCAAATCATATGTTTTATGCTTATACTTCTTTAAGAAAATAATTAATTACTAATTAATTCTAATTCTATTTCTTTGTAGGTAACTAGGGAATAATTGCAAAATACTTATATGTTTATGGAAAACAGAAGCCTGTTCATAACTTATAACTTGTGCATGAAGAACTGCTGTTAAACACTTTACAATTAGGATATGCACTTATTATTATAAATTTTCTAATATAGTGTATCGATGCGTCAATATACTTCCGAATATGTTTGTGATTCTTCGCGGAATGTACATAAACCATACCTACTTTGTGTAAGAAGGCGAGCCAAATATTGATTGTACAATGTATATATTTAAATCTGAATGCTTAAATTAAGTTTAATTTCTTGGAATATAAAAAATCGAATATATAAAAATACTAAAATAACTTCTTTCAAGCTGAAAGTTTATTTATAACTGTAATGATTCTTTTCGTGAAATATATTTTACCAACATTTGCGTTATTCTTTGTTTTTTACTTAGACTGTTGGCGTCTTCAATATCGTAACAAAATATTATCTAAAGTGTGAATACACAGCAGTAATATTTAATATCACCAGAATCATATGAAATATTTGACATTACAATGTCTCTTTTTAGCAATGATGAATAAATATGTATTACTATTTTTCAAACAAAATTATTGAATTTTATTTTCTTTCTTGTAAAGAACAAAATATATCAAAACAAAATATATATATAGGAACAACACGATATTCAGCTTGTCCATTTCATTTAATTGACCGTTTAGTTTACAATTAATTAACGACACAATATTTAGTATGCATGTAGATCAAAAAGGCCAGAATGACCTAATCCCCATAATTTCGATTAAAAAAGTGAGACATATTATTTCACTTCCAAAATATTGAAGCTCTAAGGGCTTTTAGAGTTTGCAAACGGGAAGATTTTCAGAGAATGGCGAAATAAAGTACTTAACAATCACTTTACCACATTAGTTATGAAATCGATAATACTTATACTTAATCCAAGTTATTCCTAATTCTAATTTTATTTTATTTGCAATGTTAATAATTTTGTCCAATAGCCATCCTAGTTACATAAAAATAATTAATTCAAACAGATTATATAGGTAAAACTTGTCTTTTTTTCTTCTAAGAAAATGTTCAACAAAATGTCGAATAAAAAACTTGTAAGTTGCCAATAAAAAATTTATTTTCAATTTTCTTTGATTTATTTATTTTAATTTATTACTTAGACAGATGCTAGCTTCTTTGATGTTATATTTCAAAATAATATCTCACTTTCCAAAATTTTATCATCAATTACATGCGGATTTATAATTATATGTTCTTAAAATAATTACAAATCAAATTGAATAGATTTTATAACTACTTTTAACCGAATAGTTGCGGATTTATTCAGTAACAAGTGAAGTGCACAAGTCGTAAACCCAAAACCAATCATTCTCAGCTCGATGGCTGTTTAAATTTTATTCAAGATAACTCTTTGTAAGTCATTTGGTAAAATCAGAATTGCACTTGTAATTATTCAAATATGCTGTTTATGATGTTTTTGTGGTTTTCTTTTATTCTGTTATGCTTAGTGTACTTGTGTAAAAATTGTACGATTGTTTATCCTCAACATTTTGAAGCAACTTAAGTATGCAGCAATAAAAAATCGAACTCATTTATTTTCTGTGAAACTCTTGTATTACATGTTGAACTGTTCATGGTGGTTTATTTTTGCCAAATCAATTTAAAACAGTAGTTCATGAAAACATTCTAGAATATATCATACAAAGCACTGTGCATGTATTCGTATCATGTTTCCTTGCTTCATAGTTTATCTATTTTATTTAAAGTCTTTGAAGCCGCAACGTCTGTTATAATTATTCAGTGAAATAATACTTTAAACGATCAAACTTTTATACTGTTCATCAAACTATTGTAAAGTTTTTAAAAAGAGTTATTGAACGTGTGTATGCAGGCAATGTATCATGTTGAAAATGAAGCATTTGAATTTCTTTCTTTATATTTTGAAAACAGTCGTTTGGAGTGACACTTTTTTAAATATAATAACACAAAACTAATTGGAAAATTGCCAAATACACAGCATCTTCAGTTAATACCAACCAACATTTTATTAAACATCTCAAGCTGGTGTGCACGTGTGTATAAACAAAAATAGTATCAATATGTTACAGTTTTTTTTTCAAACCTTTTAGGACACGGTGGAAACTATGTTCCTTAAAAATTTGATCATTTGAAAAACCGATGTCTGTGTACATATCAATATTTTAATGACTCTTTTTTATTTTATTTCCGCTGCTCATTAATTTTAAAACAAGAACAGATTATCAAAGAATAATATGTAAATAAAGCTTTCTAACAATAGCTGACTTAAACACAACTTCCACCTCTCTTCTGTTCATCAAATGTTTTCGCCAGACTCTTAATCATAATTGCGTAAATATATTAAAAGTCAACCTTTGCGTGACGTACTTTCCATTGTTATACCTCACAGCATTTAGCTAAATAGAAAATTTAATACATATATGCATGCAGACAAACTGTCTAAACGTCTGCTGAGCATATTCATCATGTTTCATTATAGACTAGGATTTGCTGAAATAGTATAGAGAAACATATATCATTTATCGAAATTCCTTCAGTGCTTTTGGTTTTATAAAACGAACGTAGACGAAATACGCTCAATGTTTTGCAATCGGTTTGATTGCATCAGGGGGGTTACCTTTCAGCTATAACTTTTAATTATATCTCCATGTAAATTTCTCATAGGAAGCTGTTTGTTATTTTAAAAGAAAAGAAAAATATGCAAAGGAGTTAAAACGATATTCAAATGAAATTAGTAAACAATTAACACGTTGTGGTCTTCTGTTTATAAGAAATTTCAAAAGAATTCCCTAATGTTGATGCTCGCCTCGAGTCAGTAAAATTATTTTGCAAAATTGAATTTTGAAACAATGAAAATATATGTATTTCCTGAGCTCTTAACATGTTTAATAGAAGTAACAAATCATTGTACAACATATATCACAATATTTCTACTGCGTTTCTAGAAGAGCTATTTATTTTTGTATAATTTGGCACATAAATATTGGATAATAATTGCCTCAGGCTAGCCTAGATCCAGATTTTCAACACACTTTACAAACTTTATAACTATTTTTTTTTATTTTCAAAAATAGATTTATGAATCTGGAAGCGGGATGTCTTTAAGCACTCTTAACAATTTCAGTGTTAACACTATTTGTGAAAAAATGTTACTATTTACGTGATGTATCAGACTCAAAATTCAAACACTTACTTAGTGGTGCTAACTAATTTTCCAGCTGCAATAAATACATTCATTTTTGCAATAAAGCATAAATTGTAATGTGAAATCTCACTCGAACATAAAATCTGCTATTGCGAATTGTTTTTCGGCCTCATAGTTAATGCGTCTATCCTTTGACTGAAATTGTTATTTACATCAGACCGTATTACTTGTGATGCGTTTGTATAGTGTGTGATTGAATGCCATTTATGTAACTGACTTTTCTTTGTCAGCGTTCCAAATTTAGCATTATTCAGCAGAAGCGTTTTGACTATGGTTTTAAATTCAGAAAATGAAGACAATAATCAAAAAAAGTTCTAATGGTGTCAATGTCATATCTTACTTGTCAGACGTAATTGTTTTAAGGCAAAATTTCGGACATATTTATGTCTAAACATTTACAATAATAAATATCTATTGACTTGCAACAAAATGGATAAATGTTTAAATGTTGTTTTAAAACAATTTGCAATATTTTCACACGAGACACTGCCTCTAAAATATAAATCAAAACCTATTAGCAATGATGCAATAGAAGGGGCTGAAATAAATTAGTGATAGTCCTGATCGTGTTATTAGTACACCGCTCTTCTAGTATTTACAGTGCTATGATAAGAGATAACGTATGCGCTTCGTGATTGAATCCAAGCTGTCAAATTAAATGTCTGAATTAATAAATGCAAGCACATTAATATGCAAAGCCTCTGTATAATTACATCAAAGCAAGAATTCAAGGAAACGAGTAACATTCGTTTTGTATGATAAGCTGAGTTGAAAATGTTTTTACCATACGTCGTTATACAACATACCCTGAGACGTTTCTTACCATAATGTAATCTTCATTGAATTGTTTCTTATCTAAATGATATACAGAATTGGCATGAAACATCCATCACCTGTCTTCAACCTGAAATAAAATATAGATGTGTCAATAAGAGTATGTTAATTGTAGTAAAAAAGTAAATATCTTACTGTTACAAAACTAGTATCATCCGTTATTTTTGTATTACACTGAATGTTGTCTAACTTATACATGAATTTATATTTGTATCCACCCTATGTTTCAATTTTGGAGACTTAAAGGTCATATACACATGTTGAGATTTGCATGTATTTTGATTATATATACATCAAATAATCAATTTCTGAAATTATTCGATTTTACATCGACTCTTTCTGTAAAAAAAACAACTTTTAAAAATCGCATATTTCACCCGTCCGAAAAATTCCGACTGAATTACTTCCCCTTGTCTCAGTGCGCTATGACGTCATTACTGAACATTCAATCATAACACCGTGTCCGCCATTACTAGAAAGTATTGCTGAATTACGATAAATAAAACTCTGATAATGGAAGAATTCTCAGATGAATCGGATTATTTCGAAGGGGAAGAATACAGACTCCAACCTTATCAGTTTGAGCCAACGAATGATAGCTTGACAGTGAGTGAATCTTCGAGTTCAGACTCGGAATATGATGGCGAGGAAGACGCAATTCCCGATGTGTCAGATTGGTAATTATCCGAACCCCATGCTATTTTCACCGCCGCGATGTTTTACTAAATGTATATAAATTGATAAATTATCGGCCTAGAAACTAATATTAGTACGTTTTGAAGTATATTTTAGATAATGGTGGCTTCAGAACGCATTTGAAGCGGCATATAGCTTGTGAATCTTGTGAATCCACAGTCTGCCACACGGTTTAAACGGTTTACGAATTGCCCTTGTTATAACAAATTTCTGTAACAAATTGTTGCAAACATTTGTTATTAATTACAAAACGAATCGTAATTATTTTTATAACTTAGAAAATACACATCCTCAAAGAGTACCTTAGTAAACAAATAAGGTGGTTCAGCACATTTTTGCAGCACAAAATTATGTGGCAGTCCTTAATGCAATTTTAATGAAAAGTGTATTTGATTTATAATAATTTAATTCATGAGAGGATCTCACCTAATAACTTAGTTTTTATTCTAAATTATTGTAGGTGTAGATGTGATCAGTGCATACCCATGCCAACAGCCAATGAATGTAGGTGCTGTCGCACTATGAATATTGTGGACCAGAAGACTGAAGGCCTTCAGTGTATCACAGAGCACGAAGGATTTCAAGTGAATTGTCTGAACATCCATGTTTTGGAGACTTCATATTACGAGTATGTTCTGGATCGGGGGCAGTTGGAGGAAGACCAACTTATTCACGAGTAAGATATATCTGTTTAACAATCCTATCCAAAAAAATTACTGTCTCTCAATATTTTTAAATCTCTATCACCATTGTTTGTTTAAGAGTTCCTAGAGCTTGGATTATTCAATTGTGTCTGTTTTACAGACTTAAAGTATTTCCACTCCCTGGACCAGAAACCGGATTGGGGACCTCACATTACTAAGGTGGACACTTTACCACACCACTTTAAAAGCTAGCAAGGAAGATACTATACCCTACTAAATCTGTTGATACTTGTTTTTCATATAGTAAACTTGTTGTTTATGAATCTCGTTGTGTACATATATGAATACTCTTTTAAGACGGTACATCTATGGTTTGAAATTTTTATTCATTTATTTTTCTCACTCTATTTACAGATTGTACAGGTATCTTGCCTACAGAAGATTTACCAGATGGGTGTATGGATTGCTGTCCAAAAAGTGCCGCAAAGTGATACCGTCTTGTGCTGTGAAGGCTATAAGAGACACTTTCCCATCAGAGGAGTACTGTGGATTTAAATACCCGCAGTGAGATTTGAAACTTCAAAGACAATTAAGTTAACAAACTTTGAATTTATAACACTATTGTTTTAAACCAGTTACCACTTTTAATAAAATTTATAAAATCAGCAAATGTTGTTTGCTTAATGCCATTGTAATTTAGACAAAGAAATTGCTATCGCACTGGGTTTTGACCAAGTACCTTTCGTGTACAAGAAACTATTTTAGATGCATTTTCCTATTAAGGTTCATGAGATATGTAAGTGCCGAAAACTTTACAGAAATAACCAAATATATGAAATAGTCCCAGGAGCTGAAAATCGATTTCCAAGTTTTGATAAGTATACATGCATTCTGATAAAAAGGATGAATCAGCTTAAGGCGCATCTGTCTAACCACTTTGCAACTGACAATAACTGTGAAGAAAGTCCGCTTTTAGCTCTGATATACAATCAATGAATGTTTGAAAAGCTTGTACAACAATGGTGATTTTAGTTCTTATTACATTGAGATAAAAGGCCTTTTTACTCTTGTCTTGCATCCATTTTTCAGGGTGATGCACTTGTACAAACAAAGGAAAACCCTTTAACCAATAAAAAAGAAACACAAGAGAAATTTGAATGCAATATATTACTTTATTAAAATAAAATATTTACAGAAAAAAAACTTAACAGCAACATAACAATAGACATTACAAGTTCAAACATATTAAGAACTGTCTGTAAGACCTTGTGCTCAACATTTCTCATAGCTGGATAGTATAACCACATATTTCAAGAAAAAATATACCATAATTGTGTAGAAAACAATTAAATGTTGCCTGTCCTTTTGAAATGACTCCACTATAAATAATGAAAAGTATTGCAAGTTTCAAGTGGGTATCTTTGATAATTGTTTTAGATGTACTGCTCAAACTTGCCTATGCAAAATTTACAAAATACCTACAATAATAAGTAAACATTGACTGTAATGTAAAACGACTACACTACAGGTAGTGACCTTTGAAATAGTAACAATATACCGTAGATGGAATTCTGAGTTATATTTAAATTATAAAACATCAAATTATCCATTTTAATTATTATTATCTTAGTCATTTTAAAAGCGAAATCAAAAATTTTGATATTCATCTACACAAGTGTGCCTTTAAGACAATTTCCAAACTTTCTGATTAAACCACAACTGGTCAGACTATCTAAGTGATATTCTATGATCTATCTGACTGCCCACATTTCTTTATTCTATATCTTAAAATGTGTACAATTGAAAAGGGACAGTTTAAACAAACACCATGGTATATTTGTCATTGATCCGCAATAGTTTCAGTTTATATCTTATCCTATAAAGAATCATTTTCAGTGTGGTACCCTTACTATATGCAAAATTGAATTACATCAATAAGTTGAAATTATTCATCTTAGCTGGAAACAAACAGCTTTTAAAGGTGCACTGCGATTTTTGTTCAAATTTTCATATCTTAGAAAGATTGTAAAAGTAAACTCTCAAAGATGAATAATTAAAGTAGTTTAGCTCCTTATGGAAAGCATACAACAATGTAGAACAACTATAACGGGCGTTATTAAATCATGCAAGAAAAAACCTCAAAACCGTTAAAAAAGCTTTTGAAATTGTTACAATATGGGTTGAATGAAGCTACATATCTTAAAAGTTCACATTAAAATATTATTTTGGATAGTATTTCTATATCATTTTCTACATGTTTTATGTACTGAGAAGTCAATTTTAGAAAATTAAAGTTTTGATGATCATCTGGAAGTTGGAACAATGCACCTTTAAACTAAGAAAATATAATTTTGTATTATTACTAAAAGTTTGCATTTTATGATTAATTTTATGAATGAAGACAAAGTGAACCATTTCTGACATTTAAAAACTGAGAAATTATTTTCAAGGACATGATTGACCTTTAAAGTAAATCAGTTTATAAAGCATATTGTGTTGTTTATATGCCCTTTTTTGAAATTATTTATCTGAGTTTTGTAAATAAAACCAATGTTATATGTCTCGTCTTTTGTCACTTCAACGGTTAAAACGAGAAACATGCGCATGTATCACATCTTGTTTGGACTGTCTTTTCGGTGTGCTCTGGGAGAGTGGCAATGGTCGGTTCTTATCCATAGATAGTAATAGATTGTTGGCAGCACTGTAACTTGGCCGAAACTCTCGAAGTCCCAAAACTTCATTCATTAAGTCTTTTATATAACCTATAAAAACAAGAATTCAACCATTATTATAAAACATGAAATTGAATTATACTTTAGAAATAAGTAGACCCTATAGTTATTTATCATGTCAGAGTTCAGATGCGCAATATTTTAGGCACGAGGGTGAAAGCTGGATAAATGTACAAGCAGCTAAATGATGAACACTAATCAGAAAATTAAAAGAACAAGATGACCTTTAGTTTAATTCTAACACATGCTTAAAAGCAGCTTTTTATAAGAAACACAGGGTCTTTTTTGTCTGCATAATGTTCTTTGGCATTATGACATCATTTTTCAATGTGATAACCATTTGCCTAAAAAAAACTATCTCAAGATTTAATTTTTTTTTTATTGATATAGAGACTAGAGGGTTGTGTCGGAATATGGAATTTACAGTTCATAGCTAATGAAGTGGTGAAGTTATGTATCACACAAAAAGCCAGAGACAGACAATATGGCAAACATCTGCTCAACTGGTACACATAAAGAGAGGTCATTTTATAGAAAGTGATGAAAAGTAATTACCAAAGGTCTGTTCTGACTTGACTTCCTTTGCAACTGGTTCCCCTTTCCTAGCTTTTGGGTACGAGACTGAAAACTGTGGTCTACCATCTTTAGTTACAGCTTGCTTCCTGTTGCAGTTCTCGTTGAAGTGTAGGGCAGCAAGGAAAAGTCTGTAAATTTTCAAAGTTAATTTTAACAGCAATTCAATCCAATCAAAATCTAAGTAACTCTTTGGACGCCCACATATAAGTGTTGCCATGGTGTTAGCAGATCAAGCATCTGTCACAATCGCAATAAAGAATTTAGTCTGAAGCATGTTGATTAAAAAGTTGAACTTGGATTACAACTTGGCTTACTCAAGAAAAAATAAACACTTTTAAGATTTTACTAACACACTGTCAGTTTCTAGCATTAGCTTAAATCAATGCTATCATACATAATCTCTAAAAGAAAAAAAAAGCTTTAAGCTATAAAAAGTACTATACCTTGCCTCCATGTTGGCATGCTTGTAGTGCGTTGATTTTGGAACAAAACTACAGATCACTTTATGAAATGCTTCAAGAGACGATGTCTGTTCAGCAGGTGACAGTTTCTTTACGTCCTGCACAAGCTGCCTGCCTTGGACAACCTTGGCCAATTCTGCGTGAGGTTTGAACCCTAAAACAAATAACTTTGATTTAAAGTTACAAATCAGACCATTAAATATCAATATTTGAAGAATATAATATTATTTATAACATTCAAATATTACTGTTTTATCATTATAACTAATTTCAAAGCGTTGGAATATCAAGCCCTGGTTATTTTGTGATCACAAACACCAACGCTTATCATGTCATTTCTGACGTCAAAATGCCTTAGAACTAAGTCCTCTTCAACTTAAAAGATATAGATCAAAATTTTCTGATTCTATTGTTTAAATAAATTGAAGTTATTGTAAAATAACTTGTGTGTTCAGGCCTTCAGGTTTCCAGATATATTCTTACACAATAAAATGAAAGATAGGAGTTATTCAAGGGTAACTGACTATGATCAAACCATACCTTTTTTCATCCACATTCGATCACCAATGTCGCCATGCTCACAGCGGGGAAATCTGTCTCCATGCCCTTCATGCACATTGGTAACATGGTTCAATATTGACAGCCATTTCTGTTGTACAAGTTCCCCGTCACCATTGCTGCTAGCAGCACACCAGTACAGATGATTACTGACGGAACGGGCCCATTCATGCACCTTCTCACAACCTTTCTTCTTCCCTGCTGCCTCCAGCTTCTTAAAGACACCTGAGATACAAAGAACAGAAGGTTTATTAATAGTAAAATTTATCAATTGTGATTTGATGAAGTTTGACATTGTTCCAGTTACGTATTCACCAAAAATTTTAAAAGTTCCAGATAATCATAAAATTATGAAAGAATCCGTTCTTAAAATTACATAGCAAAATATCATCCAGAATAAAGAGAATGAAAATTAAAAAATGTAAAGTTAAAGGTACATGTACCTTGCTCCTGATGAACATAGAAAATTTTATTTTCTAAAATAACTTAGTAAAAGATGATGATAAACAAACACTATATATATTGATATGTCGATGTTAAAATAAAAATGCAACCTAAAATTTCATCAATATTAGTACCAGTTCAAAAGCGTGACTAACGGTTTTGAGCCGTTTTGCGTTATTTTACCATAATTATGTTAATTACATACAACAGAGATATAACATGTATAACGCATTGAAACACATTTATCTATGCTCTCAAATTTTATGTTTAAATTTATGCAATTAAAATGCATTGAAAATTCCTCCTTTAGTTATCTAGTAATTTACATTTTGCTAGTATTTTACTAGTTTTACATTTTGAAATTCTTTACAAAACCTGTGGCAATGCCCCTTTAATCTCATACCACATACAGTGAATTTCATCCACTTTATTTCACTAAATGTGTATGTTTATTTTCTTTTCGCAGTATTTCTTCAACTTTTGAAATACAATTTCCAGGGTATTTTTAATGACAAGTTTGTTCATTTATGGAATAACATACACGTATTGATTTAATACAGCTTTCTTTTCAAACTCCTTACCTTTAGCTACATGCCACACGTCAAACCAGTGAATGATATCACAGTGATTTTCTCTCATGTACTTCTTCACTGCACTATGTCTGTCGGTGACCAGGTGGGTGACTTTTACATTATTTTCTTCAGTAAGGAAATTCAGGGACCGTTTCAAACCTTCCAACTCCATCGCATACGAATTTTTCACCTCATTACTCTACAAGAGAAATTTAATGATTAAATGCTGACAAATTGATTACAATTCTAAAATGAAATACCACGTCTGCTCATTATACTAGATGGTGATATTGAATTAATAGGTTTTTTATCCATTTTGCTGGATCTTTTATGTTATGAATAAACACATACTTAGTTGTAAATTACTTGTAATAGTGTCAAACTACCACAATTGTTCACACTTGCAAAATATCACTTTTTATTTATTCAAGGGACATAACTCTTAATTTTGATTGTAATTAATCTCGGCCAAGATGTGCCCTGTGATACACATAATGACTGATTTTCTTTAAGACCTGTGAAGAAGTCATTTAGTGGTTATCAAATCATTAGACATAAAGAACCAGCCTGAAAAACTGAAAAACTTATACATTCCATATTTGATTGAGTCTGTTCATCAACAGTACTGGTAAATGCAAGCTACCGTCCGCGCCCCCTAGCACCGGCTTAACATGGATACTTTTTGTAGAAGTTTCAGATAAAAGCTAAGCGTAATAGTCAACTTAAAGAATTTTTTTTTTATTTTGTTACCTGTACAAGTTGTATGTCCAGTATCTGACAAGTCTGAAGGTCCATCACGCTGTAGGAACCAAACATTGCTGTGTGTCCTGGTGAACAACATCTTGCATCTCCTGCTAACCTTACTTCACGCCCTTCTTGTTCGATCTCCAAAACTCTACGAGCCTGGTCAGACTCCCACACATTGAAAATAGCGGGTGAAACATACACTTTTTGTAATTTGAAGTAGGTGACTGGCTTAAACATTTGAACACCGGCAAACTCTAATGCCCTGAGAAACTTATAGGGGCTGCTGCCTGAAAACATAATGGCAGCAGAAAGTTCTAAGTGTCCTAGTGCTAAAGTCCCTGATACTGGTTGGCTTGACCATGTTGAAGTTGACTGGCAAAATTCACAAGTTAGCAAACACATGAGCTGAGATCCTGTAATTTTCTTTTCTACATTCACTTTTCCCGCGCAATTCTTACAGTAGTTCACCAATTTGTCGAGCTCAGACTCGTACACTATGAATTTCCTTTGTCCACCATAAGAAATGTTATCATCACTATCACTATCACTATCAACATTGCTTTCTATAAAAGAACTGTCTGGGGCCCATGTACTGTCAAGACTTTCATTTTCTCTGACACTATTCTCAGAAAGTTCTGACAAAAAACTATCCTCAAAGCACGTTTTCTCTGGCATTTTTATCTTACGGGTCTGATTTCTGGGTACATCATTGTCCCAGTCTGTCTGTGTACTCTGTTCTACCCGTGTGGTTACTGCCTGCACTTCCTTAGATTGACTTGGCTGAAAAAGGGAAAAGCTTAAATTCAGAATGAAATCTAGAAAGAGTGTTTGTGTCCTCTTGGTTATTTTGCAATGAAAATGACTCAGAACTAAACTAACCTCTTTAAATCATGATATGGTACTTCTTTCATTTGTAACTTTAGTAGTAGACCCATATAAGGGATTTTTAGGCCAAGCTACATGTATTGTAATTTCCCTGGAAATAGACATACCGGTATTTCAGTATTTAACAGAACACTGCACAACATATATACCTAAATGCATGGCTATTTCATTCTATAAATTAAGAGCAAAACCTATGAACTATTTCATGTTACTGATAATTGAGAAACACAGCATTTGGTACTAGTATATGTTTTGTTTTTTCGGGCACATAACCTAACAAGTGTTCCTTAATTATGTACCAGTACTACCCTGTTTATCGCAACTAACTGCCAACTTCCCAGGATTCCCCTTTAACATGGTAAACCAAAGGGTTGGGGAACAATCACCTTCAGGCTAATAATTATTTATTGTACTTAACTGAATTGTCTCAGTAAATATGTGCCGCACCGGGACCAAATCACAGACCCTGAGGTCCATAGAACTAATGCTGTCCCTATTGAGCTAATCGGGCAGGCTTGGTACAAGTTTCTGTTCTAATTTTATTAAGAAAGATAGCATTCCCACACATTTTTAGCCAGTTTCAAAGAAAAATAGAAGACGCAAACAACTACTGTAAAGAAGAGCGATAAAAAAAAAGAATTCAAAAGCCATAGCTCAGCCAAAAATCACTCTTGAAACTAAATATGCGCACCTATTTGATCTAACCATCAATCCAGTAAAATTTTATTCAAATTACATGTACATGAATAGTATTAGAAAATAGTCCAGACAAAATTTAAAAATATAAATCATTATTCTGCGCAATAACTCTTGACAAACATCATTGAACTGGAAATGCCAACGACATGCTCAACAAAGACTTAGTACTGGTCATTCCTGTAAAGTTTGGAAAATGTTGGTCTTTTTTTGGCAAAAATTTGAACAGAGACATGAAATTTGGAAAAAATGAAAAATCTTGTCTATTTTTTTGGATGTCTGTAGATTTTTTTATCGACTTACCCATCTTGGTGTTTGAGTTTGCATGCTGAAGTTCTGAGCAGTAGTAACTGTTGACGTAGTGGACATCTTAATCTGGTCAGATGCTACATCTGCAAGAGTCTCCAGGGAAGAAAAGCAGGGCTCAATGGACAAAGGGGTCGCAACAACAAGTGGTGTAGCATATAGGGTACTGTCACTATCAAATTCAATTGGTGCTACTTCTGGCGATTTAGTGGCAACTTGTTCACAATGGTTCTTCATAATCTGAAATTACAAATATGAGCATTTCAAAACATAATATACTTGCATTTTAACATGTTAGCAGATTTTACAGTATTTATAACATAATGCTACTTTCATATCATGTAAGAAATGATTTTTATTTGTTTGGGTCGTCAGACCAAACAAGTAATGGTAGCGAAATTTCAGAGTCTGATGTTGTTAATTGCAAACGCCGAAAGTAGTCCACTTTTTTGAAGCGGTTACTTCCCTTTATAAGTACACTAACGCCGAAAAATTCAGGGGAGATCACTGCGTAAAGATGGTCAAAGACAGGCGAATTAATTTTCAAGCAAAATAATTCCCCCAATGGTCGAAATATTTCTAATATTGTTTTATTTGTTTTCTGATCGAAATTAGTAAATACAAAGCGGACATTTCAATCTCTGAACACAGAAGTTCCACAACAACCTAACAACAAGTAGTTCCTCAAAACAGCCCTTAAAACTAGCGATTTAAAAAGAAAGAAATATTTTTATTTTGTTACAAGTATCCAACAAAATAACAACGCATTCAAAAGTTTAAAAAATAGCGTTGGCTAATAGAATTGTCAATAAATGCACAATCACAAAATTACGCGGATGAATATGATTTTATCAATGAAAATACTATTTTTTAGCGATGTAAATTACCGAATACTTCACAAACCGAGTAGTGGAATATATAGATTCTACATGTCGGACTGTTTGGGCGAGAAGATTTTTCGCTTAATTATTTACTTCAATTTTAAACAACAGGTTTATCCTGAACAAAATACCTCGAAATTAATCCGAAATGCAATGGAAGTTCTAAATCTAGAATGACTTGATGTTATTCAGATATTATTTGAATAACTTCTCCGTGGTGCAGGGATAATGCGCTCGCTCCAGGAGTGAGAGGTCTGGAGTTCAAATCCAAGTCGAGAAAACTTCTTTTTTTTTTAATTCTTTTTTAAGTGTCTTTGTTAAGGAAGTAGCCATGATATGCAAGGATAAAGTGTGACTGTCGTAAAAAAATGAACATAAATGATTTTTTGATGCATCTCTAGTTATGCAGAATTCCGTATGTATCAAACTCTGGTGCCTTGCAAAATGAATCATAATAAATAAAAATAAACTCATACAGGAAAATGCATACAGATATACAATACGATTAAGATTGCAAAGATCAGAAAATACCACAGAACTTGCATCCCTTTGATTCTTTATAAATATACATGCTTATAGTAAGCTCCAGGATTATTTACATCTGTGTTAAACAACAGTTAAAGTCGTGTTACAAGCCCTAATTTAGAAATAATATGTGGTTTTCTTCAGGCATTCACATATAAATTCACCGTGGCTGAAGGGTTTTCCGCGCTCGCCTATGAAGCGGAGGTCTGGAGTTCAAATCCCAGTAAAGGCAACTCATTTTTTTTTTCAAATTGTTTAAGTCAAATAAACATTGGATTGCATATCAGTGTTGCAATAAGTCTTATAGCCAATTTACTACAATTAAAACGCTGGAAAGCATTGGTGGCACTATACATATAATCTCACAACCTGCACCTTTCTTACATTCTGAGACCCAAACAAATTCAGCGCCTTCTGTGCTTCGATTAATTGAACAGGTTGACAAAGTCACATTTTCTTTTATTTTCATTTCATTATTCTAGGTCAAGAAATAAAACTTTTGTTTCATATTCTTTGTACCTGGCATTTCTTTTTCAGTCTTAAACATTTTCAATCAATCAATTAATAAAAAAAATTGTGAATTATGACAAGGAGTCACAGAATCTTTGCATCCTGACATTACTTGTGTAAAACATGCATTTCAGCCCTGTAATCCAGGTTATAGCAACATTTTAATTTTATGAACATGAATAAAAGCTGGTTGTAATAATATCAAGATCATTGTTTATTTGAAAATGGAAGGGACCCAATCATCTGTCAGATTACACATGAGCTGTCACATAACAATGCCCTAGAAGTAGCCCTTTGACCTTATGTTATGGCTAATGTTAAAGTTTTTAGAAAATTCTACTTACAAGGTCAATGTCATTCAGGAGGTCAAGATTATTAAAGTATGTGCCCCTGCTGAAAGGTTATGCCCCAAGGAATGTTGTGTCCAAAAATGAAGTAAACCCATTCAGTAATAAAAAAGTTACGAGCAACATGGGCAATGTTAAAGTTTTACGGTGTGACTGACAGATGGACTGACGGACGGACAGACTGATGGACAGTTAAAAAATAATATGCCTCCCTTCGGGGCCTTAAAAAAAGCGACTCAACTTCAAGATTAGAACATACATTTTATAGAAAATAAATATTAAAAGTATGCATATGTATTTTTATTTTACATTCAATATAAAGGCATCTAACTGTAAATGAAAATTTATAAAAATGATTCAACATAATTATGTTAAATCTGCATGATCTATCATCAGACTGCTGTAAATCATAATTCAATCAACAAAATGTTCTCTCACACTAATTTCATCTTGTGATCTTGTGTTAGTCAAGACTTTATGGTGCCTTACACAGCATGTGGTATACTGCAATCAGTGTTTTATGACCCCTTGTTAAACCATTGACCACAATCATAATGCCCAATTAAGATTTCAATTAATTTGTAGTATGTAGTATCTAGGGCCCCAGGCTATTTTTGACTAGCAAATTACTTGTTTATAATGGTTGTATAATCAATTAACATTTTAGGTATGAAGAGATATAAAATTAATTAGTCAATTAGACCTTTATTTTTTTAATCTTTGTTTCAGAACATTATTCTTTTTTTTAAAACAAAAAATAATAACAGTTATGGTCTTTGTATTTTTCATGTTTCTCATCCAGAAATTTTAATTAGAAAGAAACAGCTATCAGATCTAGTAAAATGCTAAAATCATTGAATGACTATTATGTAATATTGTATGCACTATTGAATTTGAATAACATATATATATATATAATATATATATATATATATTATATATATAATATATATTATATATATATATTATATATATATATATAATATATATATATAATATATTATATATAAACTGTGTCTTGTTGGGGGTGTAAAAATATTGTGTAGACCATGAATAAAAATCAAAAATATAAGTCTAATGTACACTTCATTTAAGCTAAAAAGTTTGTTATGTTCCTTCTTCCACACTTGATCTTGTAAGTTCTTGTAACATTTAGAATTTAAAAGGATGGGGATACCAATTTTATTACAGAAAATACCCATTTTTTAGATAACATTACATGTCCAACATTTACAAATGACAAGTTTTTATGTCAAACTTTGTAAAGTGGCCACTGGAAGTAAGATTTTTAAATTTCAATAATTCTAAAATAGTTACAGTACATAAATACATTGTATTCATTTCAAGTATACATGTTTGGAGAGATCCTGTAACTTAAAGGCCCCGATAACAATACAAAATATTTTGTCTTCATATACAATTGTTTTATACATGTAAGGCTTAAAAGCAATGAAATGATAATTATGAACCGGTGACTAAACATGAGCACAAAGAATAACATAATTATATATATACTACATAAATTACAAATCGCCAATAATATGTTCACAATAGTTTTTACAAAAGTTCTTTTTGCTTAAATACAAAAAAAAATTATCTGTTTTACAGTCTGCAAAATTAGCAGTGGCCCAAGGTCCCTAAAAACTTTGTATTTATGAAGTTCGGGCCAGTAAAGATTTTTCAAATGCCGTAGAATTTTATAATCAAGGGGCCTGAATGGCCAGTCGGTAGAAAACCTAAATTCTTTGACTGGTTTATGCCAACCTTTCCGAAATACGTGCAACATATTTTAATTATTATATGCTATTATTATTAATTTTAGAAATGATAATTGTTGAAACACTGAGAAATTTATTTGTACTTGTACAGTTTCATTCAATTTATTTGGACTTGTACAGTTTTCCATCATGAAATATTTTTTATTTACCCAATAATTCTGTGCTACTATCACAAACATGCTGTAAACAGAATCTACTCCATACATGCCACAAGTTGGGGCTTCCAAAACTTTATAAGCTACTTTTTTTGCTATGTTGTCGAAGTACCCATCCTATCACTTTTTTTTGGTACTCAGTGTACGAAATAAGCAGTAGTAGGGCTTAGCCCCCCACCCCCCCATAATTTTGGCAATAATACTTTATCAATAGTGATTTAAATATCGGCTCGATTTAAACGACAATTTTGGTAGTCAATAGCTATATAAGTAGCCCCCAGAATCTGAATACGCTTCCACCGGGCCTGGCGACTACAGTGTCTAGTCATAGAGTGTACTCTATATTGTATTCGCCAAATACATAGCATAGTTTTGGACTAGCATGACTAGGAGATAAATAAAAATCCCCATTTATGGGCCAAAAAATAAACCCCCCTTTATGGGCTTTAAAAACAACAACTGTTGAACTGGGATTAAAAATCCCTTTTAATTTTGTGTTAGTGCATAATACATAAGCTTTATTTTAGTATACTTACTTCTATCTTTCTTCTTTTTGATGCGATTGACTGGGCAGATTGTCTCTTTTTCTCGGGCCTTTGGTGCTCAAAAATTGTTGGTAGGGCATCTCTTTTAAGTTGCGGTCTGAAAACGTCCCCACATCCAACACTTCTCAATACTGAGGGACTTTTCTCAAAGGCCGACTCCTCGAAGTGCTTAGAGCAAAGTCTGCTGTACATATTTGGTACATAAACACGTCTTTAAACTTTTCATCACTTCTCCCGAGTCTTTCAGACCACGTCTTCCTCATATGTCTTATTTGTGGGAAGAGGTTAAAAAAAACTTACTTTATCTTCTCCCAGGACGAGAATTACAATCCCGAAAGCAGCACACTAACAACCATGGTGGCTGATCGTCAAAATATCGGAACAAATAGTACCCAATCCACGGACGATTTTTCACTAGAAAAATGTCACAATATTCACACACAGACACAAAATTTGTTTAATCCTTGAAGAAAGTGATAAAAATAGAACAAGAATATAAACGAAGAAAAGCTCGATTACAAAGCAACGGAAAATGTGAATGGACAGTGTAACGGTGCGCGTTGTTATCTGTTTAGACAGGAAGGTGTTCTACGTAAGTGTACCTGCTCACTACGGTCAGAATCGACAAGGGAGGTAAATCACAAAACTGTAAGCTTTAGCGAAGGGATCCATTTTTCCATCAAAAGTGCTATTTAAGTTACAAAAAACTTTTTTCTGTGGAACAATGCTATTATGCAAGATTTTAATAATTCTTAAATAGAGCTATTTATCACTTTTGAAAGGTTCTTCATTCTTTCGCCCAAATATGACCTTGTAATATAGTTCGATCGTCAAATTCACAGAATTTACTAACTGCTAACTGGCCACAGAATAGAAATCATTAATTCATTCATTTATATACGCGAGACGTCTGATTTCATCACTCTTCACACATAATCAAATTCAAAATATTAAAGAAAGTGCATGAACGGGAGATCCTTAGTAAAACGTATAAGTCCCAATGAATTTCATCGGTATTAAAGTTACAGTTAATGTATGCCTAGATAACTGTGAAATAATAAATATATTGTTCAGAAATGTTCAAGAGCATTTGGCATGTTTTTCTTTTTTAATTCAAGTAGCAAATTGAACCAACTTTTAATTAAATGTCGACAATGAGTCAATGAAGATCATAATCGCGGAACTTATACTTTTATTAAGTCGGTATAATCTTACATGTGTATATTGGTTTTTAACTGATTGCAATGTTTTGTAACTTTAATTTCTCACCATGTGTAATAATATTATTACATCCATCATTTTTATTTGCTTATGTTTTCACAACTTGTGTGCAGATAAACAATTGTATAATGTGGCCTGAAATAAAGTGCGTTCAATTGGGTTAAATATTTTCTAAACAATATTTCTAACGTAAAGAAGAAAAAAGGTACAGTCAGAATGGATTAAGAATACTTAGAAAATGCGAACAGTAAATAATCCGTTAATACTTGAAATCAGGATTTAGCCTGACGATTCTCTGTGTTTGTTGAACGTTTAATATGGGATGATTTAATAAAAAGTAGTAAGTCGCATACATGAATTTCTTTTTGAATTTACTGTTTAGCAAAAACAATTTGATTCTTATCCAGCTGAATGTGCATTTACAGCATTAGTAAGAGACAATGGCAATTGAGCAATTAATTCATTA